GCTCTGATCAATACAACTGCTTATCTAGTGAAACATGACCGATGCTATCAAGACTACAGACATAAAGACAACTCGACACTTTCAGCCGCCCCCATGTCTGGTCTAGTAGCAAAATCGGTTCAAAAACACAGTCAAGCAAAGTCAAAATCGAAACAAGCAAAGCCCACTTCCGGCTGGTCCGGACTGAAAACGGAATAGCAGACGACCTCCCGACCACCAGGCGTTCCTGCCATCGGGGCGCGCTGCACCTCGGCTGACCAAAGACCCAACCGAGTCGAGATCAAGCGTCTGAAAACTGCTATTGCGCAAAGACTCCGACCAACTAGGAGAGGGACGTAAAACACTAGGCAAACCCTTAATATTTCCACTCGCAGGCGCGACGCGGACGATCACCGCTGAAGCGCAGAGGCATGCGAAAGAGCAACCGACACTGCACGACGAGCAAGCAACGAACGGTGCCCCTGCAGCGACCCCCGTGCCCGCGTTAGCTAGGCGCTGCGCGCGCTGCACTCCGAACGAGGGTGCATCGCGGGGCACAGACTGTAAAAGGAGTCCGTCCTGAGCCGCAGGCAGGGGTAATACTTCTTACTGCATGGTGCCTGTCTTTCGAGAACGCACTTATTTCCCTGCGCAGGGTCAGGCGTCCGAGAATCGCTGCTGGCTAGCGCGCATGCCGCTTATTCTTTGCGGCTTCACGCCGCGGTGAAACTTCGGTCCGCGACGCGCGCGCCAAGCTCCGGGCTGTAACTCCGGAGTCGGCGCTGACCGCTGGCGCGGAGGCCGCGGCCGAGAACTCGGCCCAAGGAAGAGAATGCGCCCGCTTTCGGTGCGCATGCCATCGGCGCCACAGGAGACGGCTACACAGGCAGGAGACAGGGCCAAAAATGACCTGCCGGGAAGGACCCGGCACGAGCGCGCAGCAGCAGGCGAGCAGCCCTTGCCACCCACCGGCCGCGGGCGGACCAGGAGGCCCGGTCGGCTCGAGGCCTGCTGCCGCGCCGCAGTCCCCCGGGTGCAGCGCCCCCAGCGGCAACGACGACAGTTGCACCGAGCGCAGCGCGCGCCTCCTCCGCAACGCTCAGCCGCGCTCAAAGTCGGCGCAACTAGAGCGTTGCCCAAATATCCGGGCTCAGCGACGCGCATCCGGCCTGCAGCCCTAAGCCCTAAAATTCAGACTTCGACGGGGCTGCAGCTCTCAGCGCTCGCGTGAACTGATTCAGGTCTCTTAAAACACAACAAAAGGGGCTCAGCTTCTCGCTCGAGCTACCTTTCTTCGACAGAGCGCCAGCTAAAGGAGACGCGGGCAGCGACGATGCGGCGGACAGATCCAACCTGAAACAACGAAGCGAACACCGCGCCGCAGTAGCTAGCGCTTCTTATAGTCGATCATCACGCGAGCGGCAGCCCGTGCGGGCGAGATTCGCCGAGGGCAGAAACTCCCCCGCGCCAAACTGCCGGCGCAAAAACTCGCGCGCTGAGCAGACATCGCGCATCCAGACTGCAGTCCAAAAATCTGAACAAAACTTGCTGCAGCTCTCAGTGCGCGCCCAGCGCAAAGGCATCATCAGCAGTGCGCGTCCCTTCCCAACAAGTTGTCCGGGATGGCGCGCGCATTCATTCACTTTCTTCAAACATGGACGCGGGCAAGCGCAACTGCGCAGGGGCAACTCAGCTAAACAGTTCGGCGCGCACCGCGTCGCATTGGCTAACGCGTCACGCTGGGCAAGAGGAGGCAAGGTGGTCCCTCGGCTCATGCCGGGCACTTGCACCTGCCTCTCAATTCCAGCGAGAGCGGGCGGGATAGCGGCAACCGTGGCAGCACTGCGTTCCGCATGTGCAAACGCCGTGCTCGACTCAAGCCCAAGTCGCAGTCCTCATGATGAGGGCCCGAGGGCGAGTCATGCAAAACTTCAAAAACTTCTGTAAAGGCGATGGCAGACCGCACTGCCGCGAAGTTCTGCGCTAACGAGCGCAGGGCGCAGATCGCGCAAGACTGCGGGCGCGCCTTCTCTACGGAAGCCACGCCTTCAAAGATGACGGCCCTCCCCCCGGCATCCGCTCGGGTCCTGACGTCGGTAAATTCCGACGCTCGCGCCCAGGAGGCGGGCCTTCGGCTCCGAGAAAGGGGAGAGGGGGAGAACGAGGGGGGCGAGACAGGCATAAGTGACAGCTGCGCGCCCTCACTCAGCGGCTCACTCCGTCCTCATCCCGCCGTCGTTCCTCCAGCTCTCACCCGTCAGATCGATCGGGTCTGCTTCGTGGTCCTCGGCCACCGCGTCGGTTGGGGCACGGGAAGCGGTTCGCGGAGCTCTCCGTCACCACTGTTCCGTAATGCACGGAACATCCATTCCCCAGCGACCTATCCCTGTGCCGGTCGATCTGGTTCTTCCCCTGCATCGACAAGAAACGGGTTCCCACTTTCTCGACTGTCTCCTGCATCTCCTTATAGGTCGCGGCCCTAGCCATCTGCGACATGTCGGCGAGAACCTGAGAACGAAAAGCCAACCCATTCGGCTCGATGTACATCGCCGCGGCAAGCTCCTGATTCGCTTCGCTCGAAACCGCCCAGTTCGTCGATCCGACGATCGAGAACTTCCCTGCAGAGAACACCTTGCTATGCTGCGCGCCCTTCTTGCCCCGAAAGGCCGGTGAAAGCGTCCGCCCCCAGGACGCGTAGATGGGGAGGAGAGCGGTTCCATGACTCTTCCGCACGTTGAGCCGAGACTCGGTCGAGCTCGGCCCACATCCCATGGCATTGCGCTCCCCCATCATGCGCAAAAGAGTGCTCGGCGTCCTCGCGTTCTTCGTCTCGCCCTCGACTTCCTCGGAATTCAGAACCATCGTAACGTCCGCCCCGCGTCCAGCAGCAGCGGTCATTCGATCCGCAATCCTCGGATGGTCGAAGGTGTAGCCGAACAGGCTTACGGGCTCGCCCGCAACGACCCTGTCGAGCAAGTGGCAGACGAGATCGCGAGTCTGCTTCCCGTTGCACAAAGCGACAACATGTGCCCCATCAAAGGGGAAGAAGACAGGGATCGCCACTTCTCCCGCGTGCCCACGATAATGAACATTGCCTCGGCTCAGTCCATCCAAGTCCCGAACCAGTAGTCCAACGTGAGGCACGGCTGTAGCTGTCCCAGCTGCCGGCATGTATGTCTCGAAGAAATCCTCGATGCCGTCCCAACTCGATCCCGTTGCCGCGATGTCCACTCCTGTCGACGTGGACTCGCCATTCCCTCTTCGATTCGTGTTGAAGCCCGAAGCTTGCAAGCTCCTCCGTCTGATCCGCTCGGAGCGGGCCCGAGCGAACTGGTCGTCTAAGAGCATGTTGGCCCCGTTCGGGTAGACCACGGCCGGACTCTGTCCTGCCCCTCCGTCGATGTAGGGGCCGGTTCCTGAACGCGCGTTCCTGGAGGGGAACATCCGCTGCAAGGCCAGTCTCGTCCTTTCCGCGACGACCCCGTCCGGAATGATCGGCGCGGGCGCCACTGAGGTCCTTCCGGTGGTATCTGTGACCATACGGAGGGGCCCGGCATTCGCTCGGGCGAGAGATGCAGCATCTATGTCGCTACTCGTGACCGTGACTGCCGATCGCGTATCCAGGACAATCCGCCGAGAAGGGTCCTTGCCGTTCGTCGTCTCCGCTGCCGGGACAAAGATCGGCCCTCGCCCGCCTTCTGGGTCGGACGGGTCCTCCAATTGCACCAGGAGCCCTTTCTCGAACTCCGTTGCAGGTCGCCTCTCCGAGTCCCCTTGCACGGTGCGATGGGTTCTTGCTGGCATCCGGTCAAGTCCGGCGAAGTCGTACTTCACCAGGGCGTCATAGGTGCTGACGTTCTTGTCCGCCGCGCCGTAGACACCGCTGAGGTCGAAGTCCTCCCAAGCAATAGTCGACTTCCGATATACTGCGGCACCATTGGTCGTCAACCAGCGGAAGATCTCGCACTTCGACCCCGTCTGAGCAAACAAGACTCCAGGGTCGTCGTAGTCCTGATCCAAGAACTTGTAGAGACTCGCTGCCAGTCCCCATAGGAGACGCCGCAATGACTCCCACGCATTATCGTACGTGGGTGTCTCTCCGTCCAGTCTGGGGAGCATCATGTACTTCTCGAAGCGGTTGAAGAATACCATCATCTCGTGCCTTCCTGTACCTTCGAGGTCCCGCGTGATCTGCCAGAAGGTGACGTCCTTGCCGTGACACTTCGAGATCACGACTTCGGGCTCCACCATAGCTGGCAGCCTGGCGTCCTCGATCTTCGGGCAGAATAGCCGTAGCAAATGCTGCAGCTTCAGCTGGTCCTCGTCGTCTGGATCGAGGGGCTTGCCTAAGCAGAGGTACGCAGCCTCGGTCTGATGAATCCGGTTCAGCCAGTCGAGCTCGCTCTCGGTCTGGGTCGGGCTCACTGTGACTTCGACGCAGATCGATTCGAGGCCAGCTCCCCCCTCTTTGGTAGGGACGCTCACCAAAGTCTGCTTCTCTTTCTTGAGGCGAGCCGACTCCAGTTCTTTCTCCAGTCTGGCTTCAGCATCGCCTCCTTCGCTCCGCGTCGGAGTCCTGATCTGGCTCTGTCGCGTAACGGAACCCATCCCAACTGTCCCTGGGATCTTCCACACCACCTCCTGCCTCGACCCGTCCAAGCCGCACAGGTCGTTCAGGCGGCTCCCCACGAACAGCTTCGTCTTAGCATTGGCCCTAAAGGACCTCATCGTCAAGAATGCGCAGTGGACGCACATCTCGCGGCCGTGCTCCTCGTGCTTGCTGATGCTCTGATCGCACTTCAGACACCGGAGCCAGTCCGAGATGCTCACCCGACTGTGGCTCGGGTGCGAGAACAATCTCTCGTCCTCCATGTCTTCCAGCTGGTCCCAGAGCCTCTTGCAGACAATGGCCTCGTCGCGCCCGTTGTCGCGGGAAGGTCCTCTGACCAACCATCTCTCGACGTTCGGCTCCGCGAGGTCTCCGACGGCAGTCGGCGGCGCGCTAGGTCGAGGAACTTCGCGATAGTATTCTTGCCCAGCCGGGACTGGGACCCATCGGAGATCGGGTCGTTCGTCCAGCCACTTCCGCGCGCCGTAGCCCATGAAGAGTGTCTGAGCTCGAGGTTCCATGTCTGCCTCTCCTTCGTTCCAGAACCTGACCTGGTCGCGGTCTTCTTCAGAGACTAGGCCAATGATCATGTCCAGGGCCAGGAGCTCGGCAGGGTCCTTGACGATCGCGTAGATCGGGTCACGCACGACCTTGCCGCCTTTCCAGGGAAGCAGAGGCCGAGTGGCTCCTGCCATCGCAGTCTCCAGCCGGCCCGCGAGTATCTCTTGCCGGCGAACTTGTTTGAGCTTCACTCTCGGAAGAATGTTCTGCCCGGCGCTCGCGATCCAAGGCTCGATGGTGGCTCTCGCAGTCTCGCCCCCGGCCCTGTCGCTGGCGCGGGTCTCCGCGAGGCCCCGCCGCTCTTGACGTAGTCCAAAGCAAGACATGCAACTCTCGGACTCTTCATGGTAGCGCACCTTGTAGCAGCACATCTTCCAGCGCACACTGCATGCACGAGAGGCCACTCCATTGCACCGATGACACTTTCGGACCCGAGGGTCGCCATCCCAGGCCTGAGGCTGATCCTGTTGCGCCTTCGCAGAGTCGACCGTCGGGCTGTCCGCCTTCGGATCCGCCGCGACGCTGCCGCCCTCTTGCTCTGCAGCGGGAACCTCCTCCTTTGGCGCCGTGTTCCGCAGAGCGCCGTCATGTCGATCGGCTGCTCTCTGCATGGCGTGCCCTCGCACAGGCGCGGGTTGCTGCGACCGCGTCCTTCGCCTCCCGCAGAGAGAGGCGCATCCACTTCGCATCAAGTTCCAGAAGAACTTGAGACCATCCTTGAAGTAGAACATGTCCGGGTCCTCCGCAATCGCGGCGACCAGGTGGAAGATCGCGCCTATCGCTATGACCGCAATCACGAATCTGGTCCACATCAAGCTGCTGTGTAGAACTAGGTTCGTAAAGCCTCTGACGCTGCGTACGAACCATCCCCAAGTCATCCCGACTTCTTCGACAATGCCTTCCAGCGTCGAGATGATCGTCTGGGCTAAGTTGCCCAGGTCTCGGATCACTTCTCCAGCAGTCGCTGATGTGCTGTTGATGACAAACGCGCCTCCTGTTCCAGCCGCGTCGGCCCGCAGCTTCAAAACGTGGAAGAGGAAGCCCAGGACCACACACGTCACGCTCCCCACCACCATGAGGTACTGCTGAGCGAAAGGCGAAGGGAACGAAGGACTGTGATCATTCAGTCCTCCAGCGCCTTCTTCGCCGTCCGTCCGCGGCCGTATCGGTCCGCCTCCGCGAAGACCCAGGACATTGCTCGCTATCTGCGCATCCAAGCGTATTCGAGTTATCCCGATGAGTCCGCGCGCCGTCTCCGTAATTTGCTCGGCGGGCGTCGTAACGTTCGGGATCTCGATAACGGTGTCCACCGCTCCGTCGGAGTAGAGCTCCCGACTTTTCGAGCATGCGGCAAGATGGATGCACTTCATAAGCTTCGTTCCTCCAGCTGGGAGGCCGCGGCCCCGGATGATCCTGCCCAGGTCTTCCGTCCGCACTTCGTCCCTCATGATCTCGAGCGTCATCCGCAAATGGGGAGGAAATGCGTCGATCACCTGCCTCTCCGACTCGACCTGGCCTGTTTCCCTGTAGCGCTCACTGGACCGAAGGTCACGATCGTCAACGGGCCGAAGGTGCGGCGGCGGAAGGCCATCCACAGCTGCATCAACATTTCCACCTGGAGACGTTCGCCTCCTGCTCTCGCACGCGGCTAGGAAGAGGCACTTCATCTGGAGACTGCCGGTCACTGGTAAGCCTCTTCGCTTGCACGCGATCTCAATGTGAGAGAGAGGAATGAGCATCGGCCTTTCCAACTTCGGCCTCATCGCCGGATATACTGCTCGCAAAACCATCTCATCGATCTCGGCTGGACCAGTCCTCCGATAGTTAGTCCGACGTTGGTTCAGATAATTTCGCGCTAACTCCGAGACAAGCTCCCAACTTCCATCCGACCTCTGGTAGATCTGGGCGACTTCTTCCAGAGGAGGCAGGTCGTCTTCATGCTCGTCTTCTGCCTCTGCTGGCCTGGGCAGCGACGGTTCGGGATCCAGACGAGGAGACGGTGGCCGGTCGGCCGTCGGTTCCTGGGACGGGCTATCCTGGACAACAGGGCCGTCCTCTTCCGTCTCCGACGCCGCCACGCCGTAAGCCATGCTCGGCCCTGGGGCTCCGCATCCTTCCGTCGTGCACCGAGACGTGCCAGCTGGCTGGGTCCGACGACATCCTTCGCACTCCCATGCTGGAGCCATCGCTTCTTCGAACTGGAGCCTGACCGTCGATGCGATCTCCAGGAACCATTGCTTCCACCTCTCTGAGACCATGTTATCGATGACGACGGTCTTCAGTACGTAGTAAAGGTAGCGCCCCAGCGTCTCGGCCGTTTTCCATGCGATCTTCGCACTGAGCCTCCCGATCGAGGCCCCTGCTTTGAACGTGATCACGGTCGTCTTCTTCACCGCGGACTCCACCATCACTACGCTTCCAGAGGAAGCTGTCCTTCTCCAGTAGCACAAGGCAACCATCGACAGACCGAGCACGACGAGAGTCATGAGCAAGAGTGAAAAGGTCGACTCCTCCTCTGCCGCCATCTCGGTCGGCGAATGCCCGTCAGCCCGAGTGTTCCAGGCTCCGGACGCCCGCGATGCCGCCCCCCAGCCTGTCCGGCTGCTCCACCACGAGCCGCTCCATCGCGAAGGACTGCCCCATCGCGAAGAACTGCTTTACGGGGCGGGCCTTTGCTCCGCAGGCCTCCGCTCCGGTGCGGTAGGTGCGGTGGCATCTGGGCGCGTGGTCGCGTCGCCTCGGGTGCTCGACCCATAGCCGCTTCCGCTCGATCTGCCCGGCAAGACGGGGGCGTGCGCCCCTCGATTCCTCGGCTCGTCCGGGCGTCTCGCTCCGGATCCACTCGACGCACTGCCGCCTGATGGCCATGGCCCGTCAGCTTCGTCATCTCTCCTGACCACCCTCCGCGGCGGCTCCTGGGTCGCCGCGCCCGCCCGTTGGGTCGGGCGGTCTCTGACGAATCCTGGCTCTATCCCTTGCCGCAACAGGGTTGCCATCCTTCTCTCATTGATCTCTTCGGCTTGGCGTAACATCGAGAACTCCGTCGACGGGACGTTCGTCATTCTGTTCCGATCCGGGTGGTGCTTGATCCAGTTAGTGTGCTTCTGCGACGTCTTGGTACCGACATCGAGGCCGTTCTCGTCAGTGAGGCCTTCCAGATTCCGCATCGAGAAATCCGGCATCGGCGTAAATGGCATCCATTGCCGGCTACCGAAATGGATCCTTGGGAACTGCACTCCAGGGCGGTCCTTCCGAATCCGCTCGAGGTTCAACTGGACCTGCTCCCCGCGGATCGCTGGATTCGGCCACCACTTGGTCACCTCCGCGTTCTGTCTCGTCCCGCAGTGAGGGCAGCTCGTCTCGTTGATCCTGCTTGTCGTGACGAGCGCTGCCCGCATGTCCCCTGCGGAATTGCACGCGCTGCAAAGGTAGGCTATGGTCGACCGGCCTCTCTGCTCCCGATAGGAGCCATGCGGCCACGTGCCGCAATCCCAACACTGCGCCTTCGACCAGTTGTTCATCACGCACCTGTGGGTCAGGCCTTTCTTGACAATGCCCCTCAGCCTCTCCGCGTTCGTATCAGTGTTCTCGACGCCATTCCTCAGGGAGACGGTGAATGAGCTAGCGCGACCTTGGGTTCGCTGCCTGACCAGGATGTTTACGGGGTCCAACTCTGCGATCCCGTCAACTGTCTCGCCCCAGTCTCGAACGAAATAGCAATGGTGGCAAATCCATCCTCCTTGTTCTGGTCGATCTTGACTCTGATGAATCTATTGCTTCAAAACGCTGTATGTCGCGTTAGCTTCTGCTTCGGCACGCCTCTGATCATGCTCTCGGCCTTCCTGCCTGAAGACCCCTGCGGTGTGCCAAAGCGAGATCCACCGCCCGTGGAAAATCGTCGCCCTGTCGGCGAACAAGTCCGCGTCGGCCTGCATCTCGTCCCGCACTGCGCGAGCGATCTGCTGGTCCGTTCGGCTTTCGTAGTAGTTCTGGCCCCCTTCGGCCCTGGCCAGGGCCGCGAAGATGGCCATCGTTCTCGTCGTCCCGCGATGGTCGTCGTTCTCCATGAACTTGCCTCCGAAGCTTTTCTCCGCGGTTCCTTCGCAGAGCACGACCCACTGGCCAAGCCCGGCGCCGTCCCAAGTGAACGGGGAGAAGATGGAGTCGGCCAGGTTCGTCTCCCTGAACCGGGCCTCGCCTTCTTCCTCGTTGGCACGACCATCTCGGAATCGCCACGCAGCCGTCAACTTGATCGACTGGTACTCTGGGCTCGCATACCTAGCGTCATTATGCAGTATCCCCCACACGTCTCGTCCCCAGCGGTCGCGGGTAATCGTCAGCGCCCCTCTGCACTTCGTCGCCGTCGGATGATTAGGCGTGCCACAGAGCCTGCGCGCCCACGAGTCCAGACAGAGCTGCCTCGCTTGGAACATCCGCCTCATCGCTGATCTGACATTCGACGTCTTCATCAGAAGGTAGCCTTCGTCCTCGACGGGATACTGCCTTCCGCCGGCGGCTCTGATGCTGTCCTCCATGAGCTCGCTCCTGACGAGGTGGATGTCGTTGTCTTCTGGAGAAACACAAAGGACCTCGCCTTCCTCTCGCATCCTGGCCCTATCCGCTTCCAAGTCTTCTGGCGTGAAGTTCAGCACAGACATCTGGTCCACGATCTCGTCCCAGGTATCCGTGGCTTTGGCCTTCGCTCTGACTCCGGAAGCCTTCAACGCTCCGAGGGACTGCATCCACTTCGTTCCAGCCGCCATCACGTCCGCGTAGATAATCACCTTCGCGTGCTCGTCCAGACCTTTCTCCAAGATGCACGCGTACTTCCGGTCATTCATCCTGCTTCTGACCAGCGTCGCCCCGACTCTCTCTAGGGCTATCTCTCCAGCTTGGTCGAGAATGCCAGTGGGGTAGTCCGCCGGCTGTCTTCCAGCATCTTGCCGGCCCTTCTCGTATACCTTGTAGAGAATCTTGACTAAAATCATCATCTTCGTCTTGGCGGGCGCGCCCCCGCCGTAGTCCACCGGGGCCATGTCCGCCATAGGGCAGTCAGTCAGGAACTGCTCCAGCAAGCTTGGGATCAACAACGCAGCGAGATTGCTCTGCGCACCGACCTGACGCGCTGCTTGGATGGCAAGGTCGAGGGCCCCCGCCGCCCGACTCTGAAGCAGCTGCCGGGTCAGCGACTCATGCACCGGCCCCTCCTTCGGCCTGGTCGAGATCGACGCGCGTATCGCTACGTCATCTTCGGCTCCGGTCGTGAAGCGGTCCCCGGTCCAGTCTTCGACCGCGCGGAGCTGGGCAACCACGCGTGTCGCAATCTCCGCTTCGCTCCACATATTGGTCCCCGTGCCTGGTTCGATCACCTTTCCTTTGCACGCCAGTCTTCCGACATGGGATCCAAAGCGCACTCCACGGTTGCGCTCCATCAAGGTAAGCTGCCGCACTGTCCTGCGACGGAAATCCCTGACTCGTGTCCAGGCCTCCCCAAGCGTCCAGGTCTGGAGCTCCTCTCAGAGAGAAGCTCCAGCTCAGAGACTCTGAGCTCCTGAGGCTCCTTCTCGAGGGTATCCAGGGCCTGCTTCGCTGGGCCATAGAGCGCATCAACCACTGCGCGCAGCCTTTCTGGTCTCCTCTGCCGGGCGCAGCGGTCCGCTCCTTGGAAGCACATCGCGCCCCCGCAGGCTGAGCATAACTTCTCGGGCGCCAGGTTCTCGTCGTCCGAATGCTGCGACTGCCTCGCGATCTCCGCCTGCTTCCTCGCTCATGCTGACTCAGGCAGCGGGCTGTAGGCCGAGTTCTCGGAACGAGTATCCCGTGCCCTCATGAAGCGAAAGAACTCCTCGATCGGGTTGACCTGGTACACGAGCTCGCGCTTGCCTTCCAGCCCTTTCTGGTCTGGATGATCAAACTTCAAGTTCAGGTCGACGTCCGAGTACCTCGTGATCCGGTCAGGCTCGGGAAACGCGCGAATCGCGATACGCTCCCCCATCGCACAGCTAGACATCAACTCCTTCATTTCCGCGTTCGTCTTCTGGCTGAAGATGTGCTCTGGCTCAGGGTCGTAGGCCGCGCTGTCGGCCTTGGCCCTCTCACGATGACTTCTCCGGCCGATCGTCCGCATGGTCGGCTCTGGGCCTCCAGCGGCCGCGTCCCATACGGACTCCTTATCCGCGAGGTTCTGGAAGTCCTGCCAATCCATAGAGAGGACCCTGAGGCCTCGGCTCAGCGCTTCCTTCGTCTGGGCCGTGATGTGGTCCTCCCAGCATTCACAGTGCACTATGGAGTTCGTGATCTCGCAAATCCTGATGTCCGCCATCTCGGTCGAACTTTCGTGGCGGCCTTGTCTCCATGACCGACTGCGCCACGGGCATGTCATACTCCTCCTCCTGGGGGGTCGAAGGTCGCGCATCCCGAGCCGGATGACCGCCCAGATCAACTCCACGTTGTTCAGGAGGGTGCCCATCAAGTTCAACAGAATCCTGAGCCGCGGCCACGCGAACAGCTCGTGAGCGGCTCCGTCCGTGTGCTCTCCTATGTAGAAGCATCTGTAGTAGTCGACGAGGGTCATCCTTTGGTCCTGGCTCTGTTTCACCTGTCTCGCGTAAGCAGCGCCCCAGTTCTTGTCTCCGAAGCGAACCTGCTGGGTGATCCTGTCGGCCAACTGGTGGAGGCAGATCGTATCGGTACCCCGAGGCGGAACTCGAACCTCAGGCTTCTGCTCGTAACCCCAGAGACCGACCTCTCGTTCGGTCATGAAGCCCAGTTGATTGGTAAAGGGATGGATAAAGGGCCACAGGATGGTCCGCTCCACGACGCCTCCGAAGAGCTCTCTCTTGTAGATATATCCTGGCTTCTTATGTCCATCTCCATGTCCACCTCGAATCACCAGCGCTTCTTCGTCGTCAGAATCCCCAGTAGAATACATGGCGCCATGCCGTACTCACAGGTCTGTGAATTCTTCGTCTCCGATCTGCCCGTAGGGTTCCGTCGGGTCCACCCGGGACCTGATCAACTCGCCCTGTGCCTGCGTTATATGAGGATAAGGTAGGACCCGCTTCTTCTGCTCGACGCTGATGTCGCCCCTCCAGACGTTCATCGACTCCGTAAGGATTGCGACCATTCCGAGCCTAACTTGGTCCGCGTTGAGCTTCTCCGAACTCTGCGAGCGGGGCCCGGTCACGTCTTTGAGGAGCTGCCGAGCGTCTCGATTCGGCTGTCCTGCAAGGCGGGCCGCTCGAAGAAGGGTGTCTCCTGGCACGGGAGGCGTCACATGCGTCGGAGCGCTTCTTCTCAGGTCTCCGCTCCTTTCTACCGCGCGTGGCGCCCGGTCCGTTTGATCCGGGTCGTCGACCGCGAGGTCGACGCAGATGATCTTGTCATACATGCCCTTCAGCGCTCGCACGACGACCTCGTGATCAAAATGCGCGCTGCAGGCCGCTTCCACTCCGGTGACCTTGTCGAGCTTCTCCATCTGACTTGCCAGCTTCTCCTGGGTAAGCCGGGCCACTTCCTCATCGAAGGTGCCGCTCCTGGCCTTCTTCTGAGCGGGTGTCGCGATGACCTCCTCTAAGGTCGACGCCTGAGACTCCGTCACTTCCATCTTCGCGGGGGTCGAGGCGCCTCGAGGCGTGGTCGCGTTCGCGCCCGCCCCACTCGGAGGTCGGTCTCCAAGATCGGCCTTCACGTGCTCGATGGTCGAACGGAAGAGGTATTCCACAAAGTCCGCCGTTTCGTCGAACAGGTCCATCTGCTCATCCCCCTGCTCCTGCTGAGCCTCGTCGCTCCCAGCGCGTTCCAGCTTAGGTCGTAAGCTCCGGCTCTCGTCTGTCTCTGCTTTGCGCCGCTGCCGACTAATCGCTCCAGATCCCTTCACGAAGGACCTGTGCAGCGCGGTGGCAGCTTCGCCGCACGCCGCCGCACGCAAATGGTCAACAGCTTCTTGGACGTAAGCTCCGAGCTTCGCAATGCTCGCGTTGTCCGCGTCGTCCGGCTCAACCGTGGCTCCTGCGCGAGCTGACTTGTTCGGCCGAGCATTGGCTTCGGCGGGGGCGCCGTCTGCAGCCGACGAGGCGGGTCGTGGCCTCCGGAGCTTTCTGGCCTCCCTGATCTCGGCAACGTTCGTCAGCTTCTCCTCGAGACCTTTCAGTTGAGCCTCTTGCTCTTGTGCGCGGTGGGCGCGCATCCTGGCCTCCATCTGAGGCCCATGCATCCCTGTCTTCGTCAGATTCATGGTCGGGTCGCCGAGCCAGCCTGGTCTGACTTCTGTCGGGGGCTGGCCTTCGCTCAGCGGTTCTGGGGTAGCCGAAACTGCTTGCATCTGCTCGCTGAACGTAGTCTTGGAGGTTGAACCTCTCGGGGCAGCGCCTCCGCTCGAAGCCTGGCTCCTCTGGCTCGACTTTTCTTCCCGATGCATCTGTCGCCTCTTTGCTCGACAATTTGAAATCGTCGGGCAGAGCGGGGCCCTCCTTCGGAAAGGCTCCCTTCTCGGTAAGCCGGTCGGCCATGTAGTCGATGAGCTCCGCGTCGACCATGCCTTCAGCTTCGAGAAAGGCCTGCTTCATCTCCGAGTCAGCGACCTCCTTCTGCTCCTTGCCTTCCTCAGACTGCTTGGCCTGAGCCTCTTTCATCCTCCTTTGCGCCCTTCGCTTGTCGTTGACGAAAGTATGGTCAATCCCTTTCTGCGCGACCGCTCCTGCTTTGGAATGATTATCCGCAAGCCGTAGTAGAATTCCGGCTCCTTTCGGTCCGAACGGGTCCTGGAAATCTAAGAGCACCTTTTCTACGGCGTCGTGGAACACGTTCTGGAGCTCCATGTTGTCGATGATGCCGCGGTTCGTAACGATGCTTTCTTCTCGCAGCCGCCTGAGCATCAGACTCATGACTCGAACTTTGAAGTGCCGTTTTGTAATCCTCCCTGGAGGGTCAGTGCGCTCCTCGTCCGATTCCGAGTCCTCCTCGTCAGGCAAGTCCAAGTCCTCACAAATCGAAGCCATCTTGTTCAGGAAATAGAACATCTCTCTCTGAGAACTCAAGGCATCTCGTCCTCTGGCGGCGTCCCCCGGCCTCGTCGCTCGGAGGTTGTAGACGCCCGCATGCCTTCCTTTGATGTGGTCCGGGGTCTCGCTCGCCACCTTCGCGAAGATCGCGCTGCTAATGTCGTCGACGTCCGGGTGCCGATAGGCGGCTTGGATGCCGACGGCGAACCCCTGGATGTGGATTAACGGGTTCGCTTGGAGCGAAAGACTCCTTTCGTTAGCGAAGCCCATGCCGTGCGTCATCAACTGGTCCAAGGGATGATCGGCGCTTTGGCTACCGGCGGCTCTTCCTGCTGCAAACGCTTCCTCGTGCGCCCGCTTTAGCTGGGCTTGTCGATCGGCGAAGCTCATCCCTGCGACATCGGTAAGGACGTCACCTCATCCTGGTGCGTCGCTGGGGTTGATGCGCCTGGTGATCTCCTCGCTGATCTGCTCCGCAAGCTGCGCGTCGCCTTTGCAAGCAAAGAGCGGTCCGTCCCGAGCGCCTTCCGCGAAACCATGTTCGATGCTTGCCGCAGCTTCGGACGCCTCCTTGATGTCCGGGATGGGGTGGCCGGTACCTTTCGCGATCTTCTGGACCGCAGTCGCTCCGATCTTCAGCCCTTCACAGGTTATCTGGTTCCTGCCTGCACACTCTCTCACTTGCTGACATCCGCCCATGCGGCCGTCGCCGAGACTCCGAGCTCGAGGAACCGCCTCCGCAGGCTGCTGTCCTCGCCGGTCGCGTCGTCGTCCTTCGTCTCCTGCCAGAGGCGCTTGTACTTGCGGACGATATTCTTGACCACTTTGCCGAGTCCCGCGAAAGCATCCGCTTCCGTGACGGGGTCTCCGCACGGCTCTTCCTTGATAGCTCGTCGGATCTCCTCCTCGTACCGGTCCTTGCGCGCGCTCAGCCTGGTCAGGACTGCAGCGACCGGTTCAAGTCCTGGATTGCAAGGCAGCCATTGGGTCTGCCACAGCTCAGCCAATCCTGAGAAGTTGCCGGCCGCGTACATCGCGATCTCGTCCTCGCTGATGCCTCCTGGAACCTCGGTGTCCCTGTCCGGCATTTCCGGATCTAATTCTCGACCCGAAGAAACCCTTTCTTCGTCGTCGATGGTCTTGCGGCTGACTTTTCTCAGTATTGGGTCATTCTGGTCTCCATATCTTCCCAATTCCTGACGCTTGTCCTCAATAGCCTTCAAGAAATGTTCCATGATCTCAAAGAAAAATGCGTGCTTGAACGTCGAGTGCACGGAGGTCTCGCTCAGCGCGTTCCTCGTTGGATGGAACGTCTTCGGTGATGATATGAGCTGGATGGCTCTCTGCAGCCTCACTCGCCCCCTGCTCAACTTCTGCTAATGCCGACGCAGAGGATGCGCTGTGTGAGCCGTTCAGCGCCACCATTCTGGCGTCGTCGGTGTCCGATATCTCGGTGGATCGAAGGGCCCTGATAATGTTCTGGTTGTTCAGCACTTCTTCGATGTCGTTGGCCCTCATCAGGGCCCGATGGAGTTGGCGGTCCTGATCGTGGAGTGCCTTCTTCAGCTGCTCCTGCTCAGCCCCTCTTCTCAGTCGGCTTTCAAACTTTCTGAGCTCCTCTGGATCCTCCTCATCCATGACGTTGTGGTAGAACCCTTCTGCCCGAATGATGTGCTGAGTCAGGGCCGTCTCCGGGACGACGTTCCGCTTCCTTTCAGGTACGATCGCTTGGACGCCGTCCGCATCTATGACGGTGACGATGGTCCTCTTCTTCCTGTTCCTGTTCTCGTCGACGGCCGGGGTAGAGGCGTCCTGCTCTGCCGGTACTCCCCGCCTTTGGGTCGGGTCCTCCTCGGTAAGCTCGACTCTCCTCGCGACGTCGCTCGGTGCCGGCCGGTCAGTCGGGACGGGAGTGGGTTTCCATCGAACGAACTCGTCACAGTTCTCGAGGACCTCAGCCACCTCGTCCTCCTTATAAGCGCAGAAGAATACCTGCTGCAAGTCATCATACGCGTAGTCGGCGATCGCCATCAAGCCGACGCCGATGGTCTGACTCCCGGTCATCACGCCCTTGAAGCGGCCCGCAGAGATCAGGCTGAACGCAACCACCCGAACTCTCTTCTCCTGAGCTCGTCTCAGGGCGTACTTGTAAGCATTGATCAGATCCTTCATCGCGCGGTACTTGCCTTCTCGATGTTTGTACCAGGAGTCCCTGAGGTCTGGGCCGACGGCGTGAATCACGTAGGTGCACGGCAAGTTGCCCGCACTGGTCGCCACCGCCCTTCCGGTACGGCATCTGATATCTCTGCCATTGCTTCTGCCAACGATCGGCAGAGCTCGGCGCGCTCGCAAGAGATCTTGTCCACCCAGCTCGTTCACCGCTCCGTCCACGCCCACGCCACCCAGGCAGACTTCGTTCGCGGCGTTCACGATGGCACCCGTAGTGCAATCGGTGACGGGGCTGGTCGAGATGGACACGATCGTCTCGAAGTCCTTCGTGCGCATGTGAGCGATGCAGTACAGCCCATGCATGTACCCCACCTCGTAAGTGATCCCTCGGTACACCTCCGGTCGGGCAAACTTCTCAGGGTCATTGTAAACGTCCTTCAGCGTCAAAACTTCCGCAAGGTCGATCGCCTTGGCGACGCTCCCTCTTGGGGTGCCCGGTCTTCTCGATCCGGGACGCCCTGGTCTCGGCTTCCGTTCTCCTGCACGCGAGTCACCCGGCTTTGGCTCGGGCCTCACAGCTGCTGCGGCCCCCGCGGCGGGTCTCGCCGCCGCTGCCGGCGCGGCTGCCGGCGCTGCGCCGGATCTCGTGGCCGCCCTTGCTGCAGCTGCTTCTCGCCTGGCCACCTCTGATGCGAGTAAGGTTCCATCGGACTTGTGCCTCAGGCACTCAACGCAGTCCGAGGGGGTCCTGTATGTCTTGATGAAACCTACGCCGCACTTCGCGTGCTTCTGCTCCCCGAGGGCTCCTCTCGGGAGGACACCCCGTTCTTGTTCATGTAGAGCGGGATGGCCTTCCCATTCGCGGTATAGTACTTCAGCATCCGGTGAATGTCGATCACGGCATAGGCGTTACCCTTCGTGCCCTGGTACGCCTGTCCCGAGCGATCGTCATAGATCCCGTTCACTGTGATCGTCGCGTGGATCGATGCGCGGTACTGTTGCGCCCCGCCGCAGAGAATCCCATCGCGGCGTATGTCGTCCGCGTTGACCGCTGCGAATCCGAAGTAGAGGAACTCCTGCACCCTCGGCGGCACGTAGTAAAGGCCCAGTACGCCCTCGTCCCCACGGACTCCCGCGCTCTCCATGGCCTCCTGCGAATGGCCGTGGACTGCTCGGGCATGCCAGACGCCATCCACTTGTTTGACGTCCATTCGCTTCCTGTCGAGCTTGACGTCGTCGCTGAATCGAAGAGCTTTGACGTAATCGACCAGGTCCTTCTCCTGCATCCCGATGGTCTTCAGGTTCGGGAACTGGACCATGTCCGAAACCTTCATCCACACATCTTCGTCGAAACTCTTCCAGCAGCGCCTGATATCGGGGCAGTTCTTGACGAAGTCCTGGGGACTCTGGTCGTAGTTCCCTCTCTTGCCGTGCCTTAGGAGCTGGGTCGCCAGGTAGCCTGCCGCGCCCCACCAGTTCCAGTGGGTCATACACCCGTCGCGGCCGTCCTTGAGAATGTAGTCCAGCTTCCTTTGGGTGTACCTGTCGAGCAGGTTCCACCAGTTCAGGACGTCGATAGTGCCATCTTCCGGCGTCAGGTGCTCGAGGTAGGTCGGCAAACGCCGCCTTCCCTTCCGCGTCGGTAGGGGCGACATCGCTCTGCCTACGGTCCCACGGGGTGAGGCCTTCGGCTTCTGTTCGCCCCCGCGCGGGTGCTTGCCTTTGCCTCGCACCTGGGCCTGCGCCTTCTCCGCGGCGCTCCTTCCTTTTGAGCCCTTCTCGGTATTCGTTTTCTGTCCTCCTTTGACGTCCGCCCCGCCTGTCGCTAGGGCTTCGGCCTCTCGAGCTGCGTCGCGCAACTCTCTGATCCTCCGATCCCGCTCAGAAGGCGACCTGCGTGGAGTGGTACCATCGAAGCTCGTCTTGATCTCCTCGGGGTTGATCTTGAAGTGCAGGAAATCGTAGACGACGGGCAGGTGCATGTCCTCGAACTCGTGCACCAAGTTCTCCAGGGGATTACCATTCGGCCCGCCGTACTCCAGCCTTTCGCAGACAAACGCATCTCGAAGAACATGCTCGGGAGGTAGTCCCTCCCGAAACTGCCTCGACACTCCATGCAGAAGTCGATCTCGTGCCTCTTGCAGTGCCAGCTGTCACCGAACCGAATGCGTCCACAACCCCAGCAGTGGAAACTCCCGGTTAAAGCTCCGCGCCCCCCGTTCAGACGATACTTCCTCGTCGTGTCCCGCATCGTGTCCATTTCATGCTCGCCGTGCCAACTGTAGCTGCCGATGCACGGGCACATGACGGGCCCGCCGTGCGTCATCCTCGGCTCGTTCCGGTTGCGCGACTCGTGCGGGGCCCACCGGGCTCCTCCGTCAAGCCAGTGGAGGTCGCCTTCGTCTCTGCGGTTCCGCTGAGGCGCGTCCAGCGGGGCCTCGTACACGCCGATGCTGTACTCCCTGCCGTCCGAGCCCCGTTCAGCAACCCAGAGGCCCAGCACTCCTCCGCCCGGTGGGTACGGAGCACGCCGCCGCCCACCTGACATCGTCGCCGCGTTCGCTAGCGAAAGAGCAGCGCCTGCCAGGCTGGGCCAGGCGCTCGGTTGTAGCCACAAAGCTTTTGAGCCTATGCGGTAGCGGCACACAACTTCCTGTCGATCGCTTATGCAAGAACATTCCGCAGCATCCTGAGCGCGTTTCGTCATTCCTGGATCAATTCGCCTCTCGTCACATGCGCCAAGCAAGGACATCGAGATCGAGCACAAGTGCGCTTTCACTCTTATCATGCGGATCTGGGCTCCTCCGGGGTCTCCTCCTCCTCCCGTTGAATCCGCGGCCCCGGCACCAGACCCACTTTAGGTCTGGTGTCCGCCGGGGCCAGGCGCATCGGCCGGAGGTCCCCGAACGCAGCGCCGGGGGGTGTGTCCATCAAGGAGGTTTTTCTCAGCACCCGGACGGGGGGCGACAGCCCGCCCGGGTGCCGGCGACCGGACACACCCCCAAAAAACACAGCAGAGGGGGGGAGGGAGGAGGGAGGACAGAGGGGAAGGAGGAGGGCAATGCGCAACTATCAAGCAGGGGCGGCCGTCCCCGAGAGAGAGAGAGAGGGAGGGGGAGGGCGGGAAGGGGGGCGGGGGCAGACGGGGGTCGGGCGTTTGCGTCGGTGGTCGCTGCTCGGTGGTGAGCGGTCGTTGTCGCCGTCGTGTTGGTCGTGCTGGTCGTCGCGGCGGTGGCGGCCGGGCTGGTCTTAGTCGCGGCGGTGGTCACGGTGCTGGTGGTGGTCCTGCTGTCTCTGTTGGCGGTGCGGCTGCCGCCACCTCTCCCTCCTCCTCCACCTCCTCCGCCTCTTCCTCAGCCTCTACCTGTTCCCGCCTCCTCCTGAGCTTCTGTCCACCTCCTCCTCCTCCTCCTCCTCCACTTCCACCTCCGCCGCCGCCTCGCCAGCAGCCCCCTTCGCCTCCTCGCCCAGCTCAGCGCCTTCCGGCAGGGGCCGCCGGCCGGTGAGCGGCAAGAGTCTGTTCATCCACTGCGGTCTGCAGCGTGGCTGACAGTTCTTGCCAAAAGGCCGCGGCGTCCGCGCTGGCGCCCGCCTCGCCCTCTGCGCGGTCCAGGCGGTCTAAGACGAGCTGCCTGGCCTCCTGGCCAACCCGCCCGCCCGTCTCGACAGCGAAGGCCGTGAGGTGCGGGGTTGTTGGGCCGGGGGGGTAGCGCAGGTGCTTCCCCTGGGCCGCGTCCTCGGCAGCCAGGCCCGCGTGGGCTGCCCTGGCCCTCTCCTTGCGCTCGTCGGCGCTGTCTGGGCTGGTGACCGCCACATCCACCACGTGGCGCGCGCCCTTCTCGGACCACTTCACGTCCAGCACCGCCAGCTCCATCAAATCGTGGCCAGTAGTCGGATCACGGCGCCGCCGCGTCCACTGCGGCACGGTTTGTTCGGTCTGCACCAAGCCCGAGACCCTCTTGGCGAGCCAGCGCGCTAGCAGATCACGAACTCGGTCGTGCCGGCTGGTGCGCGCCGGACCCCTCTGGCACGCGATGGCGCGATGCTGGTCGGCTTCGTGCAAAGCTCCGCAAACCACCCCCTCGCGGGATGTGTTTTGACAGTGCGTCTGCAATGCGTGACCCCTCAGCAGCCGCGTACCCTCCATCAGGAGGCGCCTCCGCAAGGACAATCGGTACAGGTCGGCCGTCATCCGTTGCTCTGGTGCCGCGGGCAGCAGGGTGAAAGCCCCCGCGCCGGGGCCTCCGCAGGACAGAAGGCGGCCCAGCGCGCGGTCGTCAAGGCCGTTCTTGGCCCGCGCGCGCAGAACCTCCATGACGGGCCCCATCAAGTCTTTCTGTCTGCTCCGCTCTCCCTGCGCCAGCGAGACCTGGAGGTAGTGCGCCGCGTTGCCCACCATTGTGTTGTATGCGGGCACAGCTCTGGTGAAGTCCTGCGTGCCCGTGGCCTGCCTCGCAAGGAGCTCCTCTGGGCTGCTTATGCCCAGGGCGCGCGCAAACGCCAGGGCTGCAGCGCGCCACGCGCCCACGTGGGCGGCTTCTCGTCGGGGCTCGGCGGCCCCCGCTGCAAGGCCGCCGTCCCGGAGCGGCAGGCGCGCCTGGGCCCGCTCCCTGTCGGTCTGGGCCTCGTCGAGTAAGCGGTCCCACAAGCCCCGGAGGGTGCGGTCGAAGGCCTGCGCCGCCTGCAGGTCCACGAGCCGCGCGCGCAGGAGGTGGTTCGGGAGGCCCTGCGCCGTCCAGCGGAGCATAGCGCCGGCCTCTTGGACTCCGAGGCCAGCGGCCACGGCTTCGTGCAGGGTCTGACCGAAAGCCCCCAAGGCCTCTGTCACCTTGCCCATGGCCCGGGCGCCGCCTCTGGAGCCAGCTGCTAGCTCCTCCCAATCGTCGTCCTGGCGGTGCGTGAGGCCGCAGCCGAGCACGCGGAGCTCGTCCACTACGTAGGGCCGCAATGCCGGGGGGCACGGGCCGTGGCCTTCAGGCTGCCACACCTTCGTTTTGTCCGCGTTGAGAGCAAGCCCCCAAGCGCTGAGTCTGCCGGAGAGGTCTTGGAGGAACTGCTCAGCGTCTGAGGCGGGCACAACAGCAACGACGTCATCGATATGCGCCGTGACCAGCCACTGTGGGGAGCCAGCGACGTGCTGCAGAGTCGTCTCGTGGAGTGCCGCCGCGTACGCCGCAGGGCTGAGAGGGCAGCCTTGGGGCACGCCAGATCCAGTGCTCAGCTCCTGGGCCTGAAAGGGGGTCAAGAGTCTTCAAATCCGCTGCCAGCTCCTTGCTTGGCGCGGTCCGTTCACTCATGCTTCTTCCTTCCCCTGCGGCTCCTAGGCCACGCCCCAAACTAGACACGTACCTATCAGGAGTAAGGAGTCCGTAGCTAGGATGGTGATAGGGTCGATGGTGATGATGGAGACACTCGGGATGCGGCCCCGCATGCTGGAAACCGAATCGAGCCAACGCTTGCTGAGGTTCAAGTGCCGGTTGAGCCAACGCCAGCTGGATGAACTCGAACCAAATCAAGACCAGGTGAGCATCGGGGGAGACGTAACTCGGTGCAGCGTCAGTGAGGCCGAGGGCCGCTCTCTCGGCGTCCGTCATGGACCTTCCCAGCCATCTCTCGAGAGGGGTCTGTCTCCTTTCAACTTGTCCGACCACGTACCGGTCGTCGAAGTAGACGTTGAAGGTAACCTCCGTCTCTCTTCCATACCTGCTCGATGCGCCACTCGAGGATGTGGGTCCCTGACGTGTCCACATACAACGCAGTGCCAAACTTCGTGCATCTCCCAACGGTTGTTCGGGCATGCCGGGCACCTCCACGTCGGCCACTTCGGCTCGTCTCTGGCGTCAAGGCAGTTCCGGTAGCACATCGGACACATCCACCACTCATGTCGCAGTCGTACTCCACAACTCGGACATGGATGGGTAGGTCGGAAATTTGCGGCTAACCCCAGGCTGAAGGTATTCGTGAACGTATCCTGGAGCTGCATCGCGCCTGCCCGTATACAACGTCGCATAATTCGGCGAAAGGGGCCTTCCGCCTCCCAGGCTCGATTGAGCCGTTCTTGCGGCGTCGCGCCTGGCATGCTCTCGGTGTAGTACCGGGCCTCCACGGCTACGAATGCGCAAATCTCCGAGTAGAACAGCCACCTCATCGGGTCATCAGGATCCGAAATTCTCCACGGATAGCATGGATCCGTGTTCGTCGGCTGTCTGTCGATGTACCCGGTCAGTGCCGTTGGGTCGTCGTCATCGCTCCGCCATCGGTAGATGCCGGTGACGCCCGGCGGCGGGTGCAGCATGTTCAGGTTCCACGACTGAGCTCCACCTTGAGCGGCAGACGCTTCATTAGGGAATCCGCGTGGTCCTGCTGCTCGCGCCGTCGGGGAAGGGAAAGCTGAGCTGTGGTCATTCAACCCGCTCGCTGCTGCTTCTCCCTCCGTCCGCGGCCTGCTCGGTCCGCAGCTGCATGGCCCCCATCTGATGCCTTCTGGGCTCGACATGCACGGACCTCGGCCCACGTGTCCCGCGCGCATTTCGCATCCCATGCACTCTTCGCACCCCCAATTCTTGCCGTCTGCCCAACATGCTGCACAGTCGTTGTCGGAGTGGCACTCGCAGCACTCTTCGTGCCCGAGGACAGCTAGGGTGCCCACCACCGAGAGGAGGGTTCCATTTCTCATCTGCTCACGCTCCTCCTCACTTCGTTGATACTGATCTTGGAGTCGGCGCCCTCCTATCGGCCCGGTGTTCGCTCGGGCTCCCACGATAGGAAACAATCGAGCTCCACAGTCCTTGCAGTGCTCAGGCTCGTGCCCTCTGATCATCCCAACGAGTAGGCCCCTGAACTTGTCCTGATCGCTCGTCTCCGGGCACCTCTCCATCATCGCGTTAAAGACAGGCTGCCCCTCCGGGTAGCCGCCCCTGGTCTTGCTGCCGGGTCCGGCTCTCTCAATCCGGCAGGAATCGTAGTATCCAAGCTTCCCGGGGAACTTCTCCGCGTGGCCCCATCCTTCCCAGAGGATCTCCTGTGCGATCTCAACCTCCGTCCAGACGGTTCCTCCGAGTTGCTCGACAACGGGACCGTCCAGGCGCCACTCCGGAAAGGTAGGCGTCTCTATGATTTGTGTTCTCGGGTGGGAAGCCTCCTGCGCGAAGGGCGGTCCGCATCCAGTCCCACGATCGTTCGGCCCATTCGCTGCATCTTCTCCTTCAGTCGGAGCTCGCGGTGCTTGCTCCGCATCTTCGCCCGGCTGATCGCTCGGGCCCGCTCCGGAGTCCGGCATCTCACTCGGCTCCGAGTCTGGCCAAGAGCGAACTGACACTGCGCCCCACGGGACGACGGTCGGCCCTCGAGACGCAACGTCCATAGCGTCGCCAACTCCGATGATCACCGGGTCCGGACCAGGATCTCGTGCTGCTCCGTCGGCACCGTGCGCTGCTCTGTACTGAGGGTACGGCGTCTCGGGCCTCCTGACTCCGCATCTCAGGCATGCGCCGCGTTCCGACGCTCCCACCGTGCCGCGCCCCGGGCAATCCCACGCCCGAGTCCTGGCAAGATGAGCGACTGCCAGTGGGCCATCACGTGCGGGATAGAACCGGGTCAGCACATCTCCAGTCGAAGCGTCGACAGCCTCCTGACTCCTCGTCCGGTTACACATCGGGCAGAGCCACCGCTCCGTGCCAAGGGGCTCCCAACATGCGCCACGCTCCCACGGCGTGCACAGGCGGTCTTCATGAGGGTATGGACCAATTCCGATGCTGAGGATCTCCGCGATCTCGTCCCACCTGTCTGGTACCTCGCGGCACAGCCGCCCGATCAGCCCTCCGTGCGAGAGGAGGACGCTCAGGCGCGTCTCCAAGCTGATGGTCGCAGGGTCGATTACTGCTCCGTCTGGCAAGTGGCTCGGACGGTAGATCATCTGCGTTAGGCTGGACACAGCCTCCGCAACCATGACCAGCACGACTTCGCCCCAAGCGGGTCCGCGTCAGGTAGCCAGTCCGGCCGAAGAGTGTTCGCGAGGATCTGCGTGTCCTGCAGGAGGCGCGGGATCGACCTAGCTGCGTGAGCAGTCGGCGACTGGAATGCGCTGCTGTGGTCATTGAGGCCGCAGCTGCTCTTCTCGCCTTCCGTCGTCGCGCGCCCCGCGGTCTTCTTGATCCGCGCCCCCGCCTCCTTAGGCGCCTGCGTCTTAGGCTTCGCGGAGAAGCCGAGCACCTTCAGAGCCTCCTCCAGGCTGACCATCTGCTTCTCCGCGGAATTCTCCGACTCGTCCATCTCCTGCTTCCTCAGCTTCGCCGCATCGATCTTCGCCCTGTACTCCTCGTCGGTACAAGCGTCCACTCAGGACCCTTCCAGTCCGGATCGTGATGTCGTCGGCGTAGATCTGCCAGTTATCGCAGAACCAGCGGCGCCGACCCTCGCCCGGCGCGAACACCCGGTCCGTCGCGAAGGCGAAGTCCTCTGGTCCATTCGTAGGCCCGAAGGTCAGGCACCTCGGCAGGAACTGCCCGCTCCGAGCAAGAATGGCCAGCATCTGTCACGCTCTCTCAGTATTCACGATCTGGTTGAACCCTTTACAGGCGTCCACGAGCGTCAGAAAGACGCTCCCAGCGCAAGACATCACAATCTCTTCCTGGTTCCTCACGAAGTATACGGCCCTCTCGGTCCGTTGGTTGACTCTGCGGTAGTCCACAACAATCCGCTTCTTTCGCTGTCGCTTATGAGCGGCAAAGTCTTTCGTCGGGGACGGAGGCGACGCCCAGGGGCTGTTGCCTCGTTCCAGCTGTCCCGTCTGGACTTCTTCCATCAACTTCTCGTCGACGAACTGCGCGTCCTCCGCCTTCAGGTCGTGCGGCGGCGTCCTCGCCGGCGGCCCCGTGGGGCGGGTATCATGCATCAAGTGAAGCAAGGTCGTTCGGGGGATACCCTCGATCCAGAAGACTGCCGCTTTCCTCGTGATCATCTCCCGAACCACGTCCATGTCGTGCTCGGTGGGGCCCCCCAGAGGAGGCGCGCCTTTCGCTACGCCTAGTTCATCGAGGATTTGCTTCACGTATTCGGGCGTCCTTCTCGGATCCGAGGTGACCTCTTCCTTGAAACCTGAGTAGCGGTACGCCTCGAGCGGCGTCCGTATTTGGTCCCAGCCCTTCTCCGTCGCTCGCTTCATCCAGATCTGATCCCACTTGGCCTGCTCCGCTTTATGCCGCCTCCGATATTCCTGCTCTTCCTTCATCGTCCGTTGGCGAGGAGGGGCATCTGGACCCCCTACAAGAGCCCGCGGATCCGGAGCAGGCGCCGGGTGCACCTCTCCGCTACCAGGGCGTGTCGCTCTTAGTCCAGTCGGGTCGATGTTCCATCCTTCGGTCGACTCATCTTCCTCCGGCTCCGACTCCTCAGAGATCGTGTGCAGGATACCTAGCGAAGGGTATGAGATCGCCCCTGCTGGTTCAGTCCCGGTTTTCCTCATCTTCCTGCGCTCCTTTCTGAGATCCCGTCGGAGCCTTCGGGATTGGTCGAAACTGGTTTTCTCTTCAGAGAGCCACGCGTCGACCTCGTCGAATCGCCTCGAAGGCGGTCCGGCCCCCCGAATTCTCTAGGGGGCCGACCCTGGTACTCTGCGTACCATATTGACTTCTTCGCGAGCTTCATCAGCTCGGTCGGCCGTTGCTCGACATCGTCTATGGTCTTTCGCTCGTATTCGGTGGCGACCTGGAACGCTGCGCACTGAGCATGCGCAGATGCCTCCTGAGGGGTGTACCGTCCGGTGAACTTCGCGACCTTCTTCCGTTTGCCGTCCTCCGGATCGGTGTAATCCCCTCTGGCGTGAACATGGAAGTGCCCCGTCTTCGCTAGGGCCTCTGGGTCCGCACATTTGCGAGACAGCAAGTCCAGTCCGAAGTTGCCGAGCCAACCTCTGCCTTTCTCGATGCACGATCCGTAAGCGTCGCAGACGATGCACTCATCCCCGTCTCGCACTTCGATCTCCTGGTGCCCGGGGAAGGTCATCCCGAACTGGCAGCCCGCATTCCTCGTCAGTTCCCAAGGCGATTCCTGCTCGTCGAACTCGATGTACTGCCCGAGGATCTCGTTCTCCCAAAAGTCGGACCTCCATGGGCTCTCCAGAGACGCTCCGAGCCGGAGTCGGTTCTGGTGCGCGGCACACTTTCCAGAGAATTCCACGAATGCTAGCGTCTCGGCATCTGGTTCACGGTTCCCCAACATGCTGAAGTCCGCACACTGGATCCCGAGGTGGAGGACCTTGGGTCGGAAGACGTACACAATCAGGTACGCACAATCCGCCTGGTCCGCTGGCTTCCCGAAGTTCCACGCTCGGCCGTAACTCTGGTATAGTATATCCAGTCTGGAAGCCACCTTCACGCCTAAGACGCTGCAGGCTTCGGTAAGGATACCGCAGCCTGCGAACAGTTCCAAGAAGTCTACCTCGTACTTGGCGTTGCCGGCTCCACCGAGCGTCGGTCCTGAGGATGGAACCGCTGGCGGGTCCGGCAGTGGCTCGAACCTCTCCCAGATCCTTCCGGGCGAATAGGCTCCAGCTCCGTCTGGCAAATTCGACGCGTTCTTCGGTCGCTTGATATTCTCAATTACAGTGTCGATCCCCGGGACCGCTATTCGGTCGATCCCTTCTTCTACCTGCTTCAATTCCTGGTATTTGGCGAAACCCCCTCCGAACGGGTCCTTGTCGCCTAAGGGGTCGATGGGGGGCCCGCTTGGTCAAGACTGAGTAGACCTCGCCCAGCTTGGCCGGCTTAGCTGACCATCCCTGCGTGTCCAGAGCTCGAAGATCGGCCGCTGACATAGCTCCTGTTTGACTGAGCCCAACCGGTCTGAGGATCCTGTTGTACGTGATCTTCTCCAAAACGGCCTGTTCTGTGCACTCGCTTTCTTCCACCAAGGACGGACAGCCATCCGCGTTGTAGAAGAGCGGGCGCCATTTGGTCGTCAACCTCAGATCCTTAGCTACTCCGTACACGTGGACTTCGACCTCTTGAGTCTCCTCCAAGCTCCTCATGAAGAGGCCTACGTTCATGGTCTTCGCCTCCGACGAAACTGAATACGCGATCTTAGTGACGCCCGGAACTAGGTCTTCTCGCTTGCCTCGCGATCGAGGAAACATCTTCCGGACTTCCCTCTGGCGGGCGCGTAGCGTCTCGCCGTTGTCTTCCATCATCTGACCGGGGGATCTCGACTTGACCTGACCTTCCGGCTGAGCAACGACTCCTTCGGCCGGGGGGTCCGGAGTGAAATCGGCTCCAGGACCCGCCGTCTCGGTCGGGTTTGCGTGCTCATGGTCCTCGTACCCGCCGGGAGTTTGGAGGGCTTGTTCCATATGAACCTCTCGCTCGGTGCCATCCTGGTAGCGAACGCGAATTTTGTTGTGGTGAACGTCCAGGACGACGCCCGGTTCGGACAGAGGCGACTTCCAGACCGTACGCCCCCCGCTTCTGTTCGGCCGGTTGTCCCGAACTAAGACGTGATCACCCTTCTGAATCCGCTTTCCGACTCGATGGCGATTAAAAAGATCTGCCCGCTGCATCGCGTCCTGCCGCTTCAGCTCAAGGACTCGCTTCCGCACCTGGTCATGGGCCGCGAACATCGCCTTGGCCCTCTCATGGAGAGGCTCCGATTCACTCACGGTCACACCGTGCAGTTCCCGCTCCAAGGGGGTCTTCATGGACCACCTGCGGTCAATGACCCTCGGCGCATAGCCGCGGTGGCCCGGGGCATTGTAGATCATGTACTCGATCACGTGGAGAAGCCCAGAGACCTCATCGGGGAAGCACTTCATCACGTCCTTTACGAGGATTCCAACAAGTTTCTGAACCTCTTTGTGCTTTCCTTCTACGAGTGCCTGTTCCATGGGTCGCCATGGTGTCCCAAACTTCTGCCCGATGCCCAAGATGGCAGTGAACTCCGCCATGATGTAGTTCTTGAACTCGGGTCCGCAGTCACTCTGGACAACAGACGGGATCGTCCCAGAACGGAACATGCACGAGGCGAAGGCCCTCCGCGGTTCGTTCGCACTCGTGTCCCGCAACCCACGCAAAAATACCCCGTGGCATAGACAACAAATGTAGGTCATATAATACCGGTTACCCATCCTGTCGACTGGGTTCGGTCCTTCAAGGTTAATCAGAACCTCCTGCCAGCATTCCATGTCTGCCGGTACCGAAGGGCCGGTGGACACCTTCTGCGGGACGGCCCGAAAGCGTAGGCACTTGCCGCAATTCTTGACCCGATTCTGGACATTGCCGCGCATGTGCCTCCACCAACGCAGGCGCTTCATGCACGCGAAAGTCTTGTCGGCACTCCGGTGACCACCCAGGACACCAAGATGGCACTGCAAGAAGACGAACTTCTTCCACGCGAGGTGTCCAGTCGCATACCCTTCGGGAACTACTGGAACCCTAGACGGCTGTCCTGAGTTCGTTGACTGGACCTTTCGCTCCAGCAATCCGTCTTCTGCTATCCGGAAAGTTTCTTGTATGGAGCGGGCAATTTCTCCGTGCCGTCCGCTCGCGTTGGCTAAGCGTGATGGGTCGGAGGGACTCGCGCGGCTCCGGGCCGCTTCCCGCAGATTCTTGAACGTCCTGACGCAATCTGCATTCCTCTTTTGGGCGGCTACCCATTCCATCCGTAAGGTGGTACTTACCGTGAACTCCCAGGCCTCCTCTGCTTCCGTCTCGAGTTTGGCCCGCTCTTTGTTCCGCGCGGTATTCCGCTCTTTGTACTTCAAGACGGAAGACTCTTCAAACAACTTGGCTTCCTCCTCGTCCGTCAGAAACCGCAACAGGTCGCTCTCCGACGCCGCCGTCTGGTCACTCGGGGTCGGAGGAGGCGGAACGTCGTCGCTCTCCGCGTAGTCTTCGATGCTCACGGCTGACTCGAACCCGAGCTGCGTCGTATACGCCCTCTCAAGCTGGTACTTGTTCCGAGGCACGACGGCTTCAGCGTTCCCTTGGATCCACGACCAGTCTTCGATCCGGCCGATGGTCCGCTTCTGGGTCGCATCCCAAGTCTGTATCTCCGACTCGTATTTGTCGAAGAGAATCCACCTGTCGCTATAATAAGTCACGATCAATCTGGGCCGCCTTTTGGTCGGCACCCTTTGGTGGTAGATCGTGCACATCGTCGCGCAGGGCATGCAGCCTTCCCCCATGGCCTCGACAGTCTGAGAGAGAGTCGGCTTCCTCATCGTCTCCAAGCCTTTCAACATTTTACCGACGAAGGAACTCTCGTCCGCGAACGGCCCTCGGGTCGCTTCCGCCGCGTTGATGGCGAAGACGACGCTCCAGCGGACGTCGCCGAAAGTCTTTCCGAAAACGATCGCGCTCCCGTTGTCGCTATACCGGCAGAAGTCGAGCATCTTCGCGACCCAGTTCCCGACGATGCCTACCATCGGCCCCCAGGTCTTGGTAGTGTGGCTCCAAACGCGCTCCGCGTTCAGGCCGTAGATCGAACCGAAGTTCCTTACTTCTTCTGGGGCGGGGTGTTCGACGAGACTTTCGCTGAAACTGCCCTGGCTGGTCATCGGTCGGCTTGCCCGGCTGCGTTCTAAGAGAAGTCGGTCCAGCGCTCGGGATACGCCGTGCATCTCTATCTCCGGGAACCTGGCCCGTCCGATGTTCTTCCATATCAGCGCCGATGAGTTCTCCACCGTCCTCAAATCCGCGCATTGCTGTATCGGGGTTACTTGCAAGCGAAGTCCAGACCTATCGCCGAAATTCGTGATCCCGTCGTGCCCATCCCCCCAGTGGTAGCTGGGCTCGACAGCCACGATCATGCGATAGTGCTGCGTCTGGCTGGAGTCGAACTCACGCCTCGAGATCTCCCTTCGGTCTCCGATCTCGCATTCCGCGGTCGCCGGTCGCCTCGCGATCGGGCGGGGGCCCTCGTGCACGTCGTCCGCGATCTGGAACGGGGTCCAAGTCTCCCATGGGCCCTGCCCCCCGCTGTCCAGCTGCACAGAGAACTCCCTCCGCAGATCATCGCCGGAGTAACCGAAGCCAGTGCGCTCGCATTTCGGCCAGACCAATGGATGTTCAACGAGCTCGAAGAACCCGCCCGCGTCCTGCACGTTCTGCATTACGCTGATCGGGCTAACGAAGTCCAGGTCGGACACTCCTCTACCTTGGTTCTTCGCCATCAGGTGAGTCCAGGGTAGACGGTTCTGCCTCCATCTTGAAGCCGCCAGGGTTTCTTCAATCTTTGCGGGCAGGTCGTCCTCGCCCTCAGGTTCCGGCAAGGACTCCGCTCCGCCTTCCACTGCGACTGCTCCTACCCCTGGACCAGCTTCTCGCTTGATCTCCTCGACGTCGTCGCCTACAACGACCTTCTTCGAAAGGTTCTCCCGGCCTCGTCGGTCCGGGGATCTCGCCATGACATCCGCCGGTCGGTCGGGTTTTGGCTTGACGTCTACGCGCTTGACGTTCGCGCGCCGGAGGTAGTCGTCGACGCTTTCGTCTTCTTCGAGCTTGTCCTTTCGTCTGCATGCAAAACACCTGGAGTACATATATACTCGTTTACCACAGGCGCATACACCTTATGTCCCCAATACGGTCGGCGCGGGAAGCTCGTCGCCGCCTTCCAATCCAAATCGGCCAAGGTCGAATGCTGCGGGATCTTGGCTCTGTCAAAGAACTGGACGACCTTGTCCCGAAAGGGAACCCCAGAGTTTACTGCTTCAGACTTAGAGACACCCAGAATAGGGATGTCCGGCTCCACATCTCCTGCTCGGAAAAGCGCAGGTAAGAGCCTCTCCAGGAGGTCGACGTCCAAAGTTGCTTTGGTCATGGTATGTCTCCGCGCCACGATCATAAGAATCTGCGCCCATACTGGAGCGATCTTCTCGATCTCAACCTGCTGCACGTTTCCGCATTGAAACACTTCCTCCACGAACTCGGGTCGAGCCAGGCCCAAGGCGACGATAGCGCCCGCTCCGTCCCCGATGACGAAGGTGGGCTGAAATCTCTGGACTGACCGCAAGGTCGCTCGCACTGAAGTCACCAGGTCCTTCTTGATGTTCTTGTTCCATTGGGCCTCCGACTTCACCGAGAACGTTCCTTGGTCGAAGTAGCTCCCGATGTTCGTGACGTCGTTGAAGAACGGCAGTTCGCCGAGCCCCATTTCCACCAAACAATGAGGCAGGAACGTCTGCAGGTCTCTCCCAAGCCGAGCCATTTCCAGCTTCGCTTGGTCAGGGTTCCCCCCTGCCGATAGGTACAAGGCTCGCACTGTCAACGGAGTTCCGGCGTCGGCCATCACCTGATGGGCCCATCCGAGGCCTCTCAGCCTCGCTGGATCAGGCAGGGCGTGGAACTGAGTCACGATGTCCCACTTGGGTTCCAAGGGATCGTCATTCTTTGACCCATCCGTACCCAGAACTGCTTTGATAGGGGTTTCCAACGTCATGGTGCTCGCAGCTCCAGGTTCGCAAATGACGTCTTGGATCATATAACCTTCGTGCTCTTCCAGCCAAATCGACTCGTACTTACGCTGGTGGAAGTCCGATCTGTCGAACAGGAAGGTCGTAATCTGATAAATTCTGTCCAAGGGTGGCCCGCCGGGGTGCGGCAGCTGAAACGTAGTAACGTCCCTGTCGATCTGCTCGTAAACCGCACACGGGCCATTGGGTCCCGATTCGGTCGTCGGCCAGTCGGGCAGTGCATCAATGAATCCGGCGATGGCAAACTCCGAGGGCATACCAGGCCACGAATGTGACCCGCTGTCTTCAGAAGCCGACTCTGCTTCGGTTCGGACGAGAAATATGGTCTCTCCCGTCCATCTGGTAGGGGAGTCGCCTGGGTACACTATGCGATGCGGGTTCGGTCCTCGCCATGAGTCTGCAACAGCTCGGGTGCTCGGTTCGCGGTCGGCGTCGAGGGTGCCTGACTCCTTCGTGAGCATCATGCCGTGTGATCGCATCCTTGTCTTCCTGGGGTCCTCCAACCTTTCGATGTCGACCAGACATTTCGCCCCAGTCGGGGCGAATAGAGTTTGACGCGGTCGACAGTGCACGCGCACACAGACGCCAGCCGTCCGCCCCCCAAAGGTGCCACCATCTCGGTATTCCCAGTAATCTTGGCCCGCCTTAGCTAAGCCTATACCTTGATCCACGGCTCCGGCGGCGTCGGCGCCCTTCGCAGATATCCATCCATCGTCGCCGACAGCCCATGCCTGAACTGAATCTGGCTCCTCGCAGTCTGAGAGGTACTGCTTGAGGTTGAACGACCGGATCTTCCCCGACCTATATACCAGCTCTCTCGTTCTGGTTTCCAAGAGCTCGTCACGGTTTCCACAGTTCCTCGAGATGCCATCAGCCAGTCTCGCGGACCGACCTGCCAGGGATCTGATCTCCGATCCATCGGCACAGGTCTCAGTGATCCATCGCAGCACTTTGCTATCTACGTCAGCGGCCGCCATGCTGTTAGCCGCTCTTGTGACGTTTGCATGGTCGGTCCAGCAGATGGATTTCATCGAGCCTAGATGTTTCCGTTGAGCTCTCTTCAGCATCAGCTCAGCACTGGCTTCAGCGTGGAAGGGTGCCAGTGTTGCTGGGCGCCAGTGAATCCGCCCCCCACTATCAGTAGGACGTTAAATCCAGTCATGGCCGCGTCCATCTGTAGCACCACTCCTCCCCATCCGTACCCGCAGGCGTCGGCGATCTGTTCGAGCGGTCGGGTGCCATCAATCGCGCCTGCGACATCCATGACAGCTCGGTTGACGCAATACTTGGTCATCAACTTGATCGCTCGGACCGCTCGATGGCCTTCCTGAATCTTCGGGTCGGAACTGACAGGGGCTTTCGGTCCTCCTAGCCCTTCAGGTGGGAACACTGCTTCCGGCTTGTTGAAATAGCCTAAGATCCCGGCAGCAATCGGATAAGGTTCAGGCATGAAGCCACGCACCCAGTTCGTGCATCCGAGAAACTGCCTGACGTGCGTCTGCTCTCGTAACGGGGCTCGAAGTTCATAATCGCTGCTGTCTTCTCTGGATCCGCGGTAGCGCCGAACCTGCCAACTTTATTGCCCAGCAATACCGCCTCCTGCTTGAAGATCTGAGCCTTCGCGATGCCGCGCGAGAAACCCGCGAGCATGGAGTTGTCAAAGAACGCTTCGGTGCAGACTGCATGCTCCAAGACGCGCTTGCTCGCCTTCGGATACCGTCGCGCCATGTCCTGCAACAGCTCCGCGTAATATTCAGCTGGCGGCACTTCGCAGTCCGTTACATGCTGAATGCCTCCCGGTTCTTCGACGATATGGCCAATCTCTTGTACGAAGAAGTAGGGGGTCGTCCTCGGATCCTGGACTTCAAGAGTCCTGGTGAAGGCTCCGTCCACGGAACCGACGGTAACCTTCGCGCGGTCAACCCGAAGCTGATCTTCTCGCCGTCGTCTCTGATCGGCTGAATCCGTCATCATGTCCGCTCGGACTTCCGCCGGACAGCTAATCTCGGCGTTGGCGGAGAGAGAGTGGATCTTGGCCTTGCAATCGGAACAGCCCGCGTACATGTGGAGCTTGACGTGCTCGCCCCCTGACGGCTCTGCCAAGCGTCGCCTGCAGGGCGACCGTCCTTTCGGGAGGAGAGTGCCGCGCGTATCGCGCATCGATAGATCGCTGATGAAGGCGTCCGCGTCGACGAAGCCGCGGGAAGTGCATGTCCTGGTCTGGACTCCAGCCGGCACCGCTCCAGCCACGCTGTCTCCATCCAGGACCTCCACGTCCGCTTCGGTAGGGTTCGCGATAAAGACCATTCCTTCCTGGCCGCCTGTGTCCCAGAGACCGGGGATTGCCTCCGGCCGGCCGGCCCGCCAGTTCCTTCGAATTCGTGCCCGGCGGGCGTTTCGCTCTGCCTCGGTCGGCCGACTTCCTGATCCGGAGGGGTCGTCGTCGATGGACCCGCATTAGCTAGGCCTGAGCTCAGCGAGGAGCCTGCTCCTATCCTAACGACGGGGGCCCAGGCGCCGCCCCCTGTGGGGATCACGACGCCCGCCGTGTTCAGCGCGAGCTCGTCGATCCCCACCTGGCTGCACTCCTCTCGCAAAGCTCCCTTGCCTGCGGCTGAGAGAAGAGAAGGAAAGACCTCCGAGCCGGCCGCCGGGTAGGACGTCGGCTTGCCTAGATCGTCTTCTTCTTCTTCGGAGTCAGAGTCGAAGGCGGGGCGGACAATCTCGGATCGAAGAGCGTAAACCGTATTGTCGGGTCGCCCGTGACAATACTTGTCCAGTCGTTCCACGCTGATGTTCAGCGCGGCCATGTGAAATCCGGCCTCCTGAGGAACGACTCCGAGGCCCTTCCGCTCCACGCAGTCAATCGACATTCCTCCCAAGATAGTCGGTACCCAGTCCGTCCTGTTCGCAGCCAGAATCATGAACTTCGCGGGGATGGTCTTCCGCTTGTTCGAGATCCGATCGACGAACGTCATCATCAGACTGACGGCTCCGATCAGGGGAACTTTGACTCCTCCAGCGATTCCTCTGCATTCCTCTCCGTGTCGCCAAGTTTCCAGCTGTAATATCGGGTGGTTATCATCGTTCATCCGCATGCCTGCAGCCTCGCGCACGTTGATGATCTCCAGTACCGCTTCTTCCGGGATCGTGTTCACGCCAGCTCCGGAGCCCAGCATAACTTCCCGGACCACGGGTCCGATAAGGCCCTGGTGTAGTACTGGCAGCCCCGACTTTCGTTCGGGGTTACTGTCCAGCGCGCTTCCGGAAGTTCATGCAGCCTGTTCAGTACCTTAGGCGTCCTGGCTTCCTTGTCCGTCGAGCTCTTCGCTACGCCTTCCACTGCGGCCTTGCCAATTCGAAGGTCTCCGAGCAGCTTGTCGTGGCTCGCCCAGTGCCCGTCCTTCATCCGCTCGCGCGCGGCATAGAGGAGGTTCGGATCAACGGACCCGAACTTGGTCACCCCACGCGGAGCCGGGGACGGACCGCTCTCTGATTGCATATAGTTCGCCCCGACGGAGTAGACGTCTTCCCGGCTGGACGCCGACAGGAAGGCGCGGGCGCCCCCGCGGTTGAAGGTGGGGCTCCCGTGCGTCATGGGCGCGGACACTGGGCCGAGCGGCCCGTCGTGCCCTTCTCTAGCTGCAGCGGCCATGCGTTGGATCTGAGTAAGCCCCCGCGGCGCTTCCCACGTCGCCCGTGGAGACGGTTGGGCTTCGTCAACCCCGCCGGATCGAGTCGGTCGACGACCGCCGTCGTTGCGTCGTCCAGCACTGTCGGATCGACGTCGACGATCTCTATCTCGATCTCGGTCCCGGCCACGGTCCCGGTCGCGATCTCTGTCTCGGTCGCGATCCCGGTCGCGCGACGGTCGTCTCCCACCCTTGCCTCTCCGATCTCTTGACTCGGACCGGCGCCTTCCTGATCCGCTGTTCCTCCGACTGTTCGAGGGGGTCCTTCTGGGCCCTCGGGAACCCGGTCTCCCCCCGTCGTTTCGACCAGGGGCCCGGTGATTATTATCATTGGAGAACTTTTTGAAGTCGGCCAGCGCCTTGGCCTTCATCCTCATCCTGGGCGAGGCTCGCTCGATGAAAGCAGCCATCTGTTCGTCGTGTGACTTCCCGCATCCTCCTTCGCACAGCCCGTAGTCAGTCGGGTCGACGAAGTGCTTGCAGACGGGCCATTGATTCGGGTCGTCCAGCATGCTGTCGCCGTCGCACATCCCGAACTGGAACTCATGCGGGCCCGGATGCGGCGGGTATGAGTCCTCCGCTCCTGCGGCGCTCATTGTAGGAGCCGACCCTTGTTTTTCTTTCGGGTCTCCGACGTGCCGCCAAGGGCAATTGGGCATTCCGCATTTACCAGCTCCAAGTCCGTTCTTGCTCATGTCTCGCTCTTCCCAACACATGTCGTCGCCGGACTTGTTCATCGCGTAGCGGGTTCCCCCGGGGCCGGTGCTTCTGGACGAAATGTTTTTTCCACCTTCGCTCCTCCGTTCTCCTGAAGGTGGCCGACCTTTGCCCGACCGGCCTTTACCTTTGCCCTTCTCCATCGCTGCAGCTCGGTTCTCCATGAGGACCGCGAAGACAGCATGGCGCGCGCCACAGGTGTCGCACGTCTGTCTCAAGTCCCTGGCGGCATGCCCACGCGTCAAGAACTCGGGCAACTGGAGCTCCGCGACGGAGTCGGCGTCGGCGCACGGCTCCCCGGATGCCCAGGAAGCAGCTCCGACAGATGAGTTCGGAATCATCGAATCATACCAGTCCTGCTCGCCATTCCCATTGTCGTTGGATCCGGCAGGGAATATCGACGACATCGCCCCGGATCTCCCTGGGGCTCTGTGCCTCATAGCTCCCGTGTCGCGCTGGTGGCGCTCCGTCTCGCATGCGATCAGATGGGCCTCTTGCCATGACACCGCGCCGCGCGGCCTCAACTCGTCGCCATAGTGCCGCCTGTCGCGGCGAATGGTCCGGCTATGCGCCTCGCCAACCTTCCGGAGGTAGTCGACGAGGTCCTCCTCGGGCGTCCTGATGAGGCCAGCTCTGCACATATGCTGGCGCGCTCGCTCCCAACGCGCTTCGATGTCGAGCAAAGACTCACTTTTCGACTTCTCCAACTCCCCCCATTCTTGCCGCGCTCGAATCTGCTTCCCGCCCATCGTCTCGGTGAGCTGCAGGATGCGTCCTTTAATCTTGTTGTGCACCTGCTCCGGGTCTCCGCGGGCGCTCCCGTCCTCCGCGGCGTCGATCATGATGTTCTCGAACATGAGCTTCCGATTGCCTTTCAGGCAGTTACCGATCGTGTAAACCATCTCCTCGTACCGCATGCCGTTGCCGTTGTTCGCCATCTGACAGATCACCTCAAAGGACCGAATGAAATCTTCAGCCTCCTGCGGATCTTTGCGCCTGTCTCCGAACTCCGGCCACGGCATCTTTGGTTCGACTTTGATCGTGGAGTTCACTCGACCGTTGCGGCTCAGTGGCGCCCCGCCGCCTCGTCCCATGCTTTCGGACAGAGCTGAGAACCCCTCCATCATGGCTTCCCTCTGCGAGGTCATGATCGTCGAGGCCATTTGAGCCGCGTCCCCGAGAACACTCCCTCCAGGGTTCGGTTGATCAGCTGCCGCCGTCTGGGGGGGGGGGCCCCCGCCATTCGGTCGGGCTTCGGCCGACGATTTGTCCGGCCTCTCTGCTCCTCCGGTTGCTGATCCTCGGGCTTCTCAGTCTCCTTTCGTCTTGATGGAAATGGGGAACTCCAAGACCCTAACCGAGCTTATAGTGCCTTCCATGGCCCCCCGCGGGATGATCCGAAGATGCGACGCCGAGTAGCAAGTCGTCTTCGTGGTGTAGTCGGGGACCATGGACAAGATATGAGTCAGCTTGGCCATCCAGTCGTCGCTCCAATGGAGCTGAATCTCACCTGTCCGATAGAGCTCTTGCGCAGCCGTCCGCGCGGGCGCGAGATACCTCCTCTGGATGAACTCCTGCTCCGATTCTTTAGCCCCGCCCTTCCGAGCATTCGCTTCGGGAGTGCGGGCGAAGTCAGTCTTGCCAACCGGAGGGCGTTGGTGCCCGGTCGCCGCCGGCCCTACCTGCGCCCCGCCAGGTTGGTTCGCATTAGCAAAATTACCGCCGTCAGGGGCAGCGACAGGAACCCGTCTTCCTTGATGGCTGCCCCTGGCGTCCTCCGCCAGGTCTTGCCGGGGCGGAGGTTTAGCGCTGTCCTTCGGATCGAGCCGAGAGGCAGCCGCGGCTCAGGCATCATGGGGTGCCCGAGCCGGGGGAGGGGGCTCAGCCGCGCCTGTCGCCGCGGCAGCCGCGCCTGTCGCCGCGGCAGTCGTAGCTGTCGCCCCTCTCCTAGAAGGGTCCAAAACTTCGCCTGGAGGACCACCTAGCGTAGGTCCCGAGGATCGTGCTTGATCTCCGGGCTGCGGGAACTCTGAAGTAGCACGTGCACGTTGAAACGGTGGAACCCCTCCGGGCCCCGCGGCTCGACCAGCGCGCAGGGATGCCATTGCCCGTGACATATTTACTTCGAGATAGTCAAAAAGGTCCTCGTGCACCGACCATACAAACTTCGTCTCCGGGGTCTGCATGCTCTCATCCGAGTCGCCGTGGAAACGGTCTAAAAACTTCTCGGTGACTGCACCTGACAACTGAGGGCTATCTCGACTGATCTGATGCTCCCCGTACACCGCCAGCAAGATATCGTTCTTCGCTTTCACCTTCCGGTATGAACTCATCCGTAAAGGTGTCGGGCCACGCGATGCTGCCTCGTAGCAAGATACCGTCCATCTGCTCGACGAACATCGGGTACACCTCTGCCGAGGGTAGCAGCGCGTTCGCGCGGTTCAGCAAGGGACTGCAGTCCGACGCGGACCGGCCGGTCCCCGTCGAGTCGACCTCCGCCGAGGAGAAGAGCTTCCTAGCCACTGTCTGGGCTTCCGTCAGCTGATCTCGCAGCTTTCTTTCTTCTGCGCTCTTCTTCTTCAGGAGGTCCTTGTAGTTGTCGCCGTAATACTTCCGCATCGCAGCTTGCCACAAAGCCGATTCGCGGTTCTGGGCCGCGCTGTCGCGGACCCCTTTGGGTAGTCCCCCTTCATTGCTTCTCCACGCCTGCCAGCGATTCCAATTCATCAGATCCGGCTGATCAATCATGCCTAACGACACGCCTTCCCAGAAGCTACCTGGGTAGCCGTCTATCAACCCATCAAACGAATCCTCGCGGGGATTTCCCTCGGCTCCCGCTGAAGTTCCCGCTTGGTCACTCGGGCCTCCGTCCAAAGGCGAACCCTGTCCGCCACCAAAACTTTCAACCTTCTGTCCCACTGTCTGTGCTGATTTCAGGTCCGTCGCGCTCGTCACCACGCCTCCAGGGGTCCGCCCGGCTTCATCGGCGCCTTCAAGTTTCCCTGGATCGACATCAGCCGCCGCAGCGGCACCTTCCGGTTGCTCAGATTCTGGTCGCCGTTCAAGTCCTCCCTGTCCTCGAAGTCCTCCTGCTGCAGGGGGTTCAGCAGAACCCGGGCCTGTCCCTGCTTCGTTGGGTGGTTCCTCATCTTCATCCATAGGGCTCCGCGGAATAGCTACAGTCTTCGACTGCGCCTGCCTTCCCTCATCCGTCATGACCTTCTTCCTCGGTTGTCTCCCAACGCGAGGCTTCGTCTGTTCAGGTTTCGGCGCCATCGTGTCGAACGTCTTTCAACAATCGTCTCAGCGAGCTCCGGCAACCCAGATATAACAAACTTAATTTCCCGGAGCAACCCCCACCCGAATGTCATCGGAAGTAGTTCCACTACACTCTGTATCCTCAAAGGTAATAAACCAATGTGATATTCGGGTCAGGGTATTCAATGCCCTCGTTACCAACAATAACCGAAGTATCCACTGGAGACGATGTAGACGTAGACGATCCACAATGGCGGCAGTCCTTTGTGCGTTTTCCAACACAGGACGCAACGCGGGCAGCGTTCGCTCAATCTCCGTTCCAAACTCAAGGCCTCTCAAAGGCTTGAGCCAAAATGCCATCGGACCATAACAACTGTAAAGTGATGGTCGATGGCAGCCTCAGTGAAGCTCTGATCAATACAACTGCTTATATACTGAAACATGACCGATGCTATCAAGACTACAGACATAAAGACAACTCGCCACTTTCACCCCAAGACGGCCCCAAGACGGCTCAAGATGGCCCCAAGACGGCCCAAGGTCCCCAAGACGA